TCTGGGTTCCCCATAAAATAACCAACCCCAAAAAGGGTGCCCTTATTATAATCTGGTTACTGGGCTACCAAGGGAAGATTCATGCCAATGTGGGGGTTGTTCTAGTCAAGGCATTCGTTGTACCCGGCCATTGAATTTCGGTTCTCCATCATGTAAGAGGATTTGCATTGCAGACCTTTCGACAGATCCCCCATGCAAGGGGTCATTTTCTGTTTCTGTTCGAATTGGCATTTGGGGATGTACGAAAATAGGGGAACCCCTATATAGATCCCCAAGCCCCAATAAGGTACTGTACCCCTAATTTCGGAAACCCAATTTCGGTTCATACAAGACCCTAGACCCTAAACCCTAAACTCTCAACCCTAAACCCTAAACCTTGAGTCACTGCTGAGGTATCCCTGAACAAGCCGCTGGTGGTCCACACGCGCTTTGCAGAGGAGGCGCCTTGCGCTGTGACCGTGGGGAAGCTTTACGCGATCATCCTGACACCCTTCCCTGAAAGAGAAGGAGGGTTTAGGGTTTAGGGTTTCGGGGTTTAGGGTTTAGGGCTTTCGAAAATTTCGAAAATAGGGGACCCCTAAAATAGGCCTCTAATAGTAGGATTCCCTTACAACATGGACGCCAAGAAGGTACCCTTAATCTCAGAAGCCCCCAATCAAGTCGTAGCCTATGATCTTCAGCGGCGTGTCGGCTCATTCTGACGAGTCGATTTTGTGATTCTTGAGTTTCCTTAACACAACTTAGTTGCCTTCCTGTGGGTCATAATATGGCTAGGATGCCCAGTAGTAGCCAGATTTATGTTTTGGGGGGTTTGGGTTCCCTTATAGTATAAGCCCATTTAAGCAAAAAGGACACACTTTTTAATCCTAGGTTGCTGGGCAACCTAGATGGTTGTAGCTTACCAAGCTTCTTCTGGGTTTTCTGACACCCTATAGGCAACCTGCAGAGAAGTAGTTTCCGGGTCAGGGTTCCGGAGCTGGGTTCAGGGTTTAGTACCCTAAACCCTAAACCCTAAACCCTAAACCCTAAACCCTAAACCCTAAACCCTAAACCCTAAACCCTAAACCCTAAACCCTAAACCCTATAAACCCTAAACCCTAAACCCTGTGCTGACCAACCCTAAACCTTAAACCCTCAACCCCGACACTCCGATACACCGCCTTCCCGAAGCCCTCAGAGGCTCCGAGGCTCGAATGCTTTAGGGTACTAAACCCCTAAACCCTAAACCCCGAACCCTAAACCCTAAACCCTAAACCCTATAGTATCTAAAGATACCAGGACACTTTAGAATTGCTGGACGAGCATCTTCCTGAAGACCACCCCGTGCTTCGGAGCAGATCCAGCTGGGTTTTAGGGTTTAGGATACGGGGGGGATTCCTTAAATGAGGGTCCCTTTTGGAGTTACTTTTATAAGGCATTATAAGGCGGGAGTCTTTGGGCGCGTCCCGTGAGAAGCTGCGCGACTAGTGAAAGCTAGAACATGCGATGCTAAATCCTACAACCCTAAACCCTAAGCCCTAAACCCTAAACCCTAAACCCCAAACCCTAAACCCTAAACCCTAAACCCTAAACCCTAAACCCTAAACCCTAAACCCTACTCCCAACCTTTCAAGCCCTCAGCTCTACATCTCCTTGGGGTTTGCGGCTTTTGTGTTTCGGGCCTTCGGGTTTAGGGTTTGGGATGAGGGTTTGGGGTTAGGGTTTAGGGTTTAGGGTTTAGGGTTTAGGGTTTAGGGTTTACGGGTTCTGCGCCCAAGACATGCGGGCTTGCGATTGGGGATATAAAGGTTGCCATTTGAGCCTGCGTTGAGCCGGCGGGGATGGTTTGAGAAGCATCTATATATTTTCCAGGACCGGGAGTAGGCCCTTTTTTCCATTTTTTAGGGTTGGGGTTCCCTCAAAATCCCCTTAAAAACCCAAAAAGGGTACCCTTTTTATTCCTAGGCTGCTCCCGGGTCTAGTTTTCGATGCTTGGGTGATTGAGTGGCCACAGAGATGCAGCTATTGGGGCTGGAGTTGGAGGTTCATGGTACTTATGAACCAATTCGAAGTGTACTTCTAACCCACGTATCAGCCCCTTAAAGGGCCCTAGTATGGTTATGCTTGAGATATAAGTACAGTTCTGATTGGGTTAACAAGTACCCTGAACCTCCAAGTATACATTTCAATAGCATGCCGGTGACTTCGAGCACGGGAGCCTGCCTAAACCACCGATTGGAGTAGTGGCCCCTGTCGTACGTAGAGCTGTAAGGGCCCAACACAGAGGGATACAAGCCGCATTCCCGAGGTCACAAGTTAGCACCCTCAACCCTAGCCCTAAACCCTAAACCCTAAACCCCAAACCCCAAACCCCAAACCCTAAACCCCAAACCCTAAACCCTAAACCCTAAACCCCAAACCCTATACCCTAAACCCCGACTTGTTGGAGTCGAACCCCAGGTGCACGTTCACTGCTTTACCAGCTCACTGGGCTTGGCGTCAAGCCTCCTCGAGCGCTTCCCGGCACCTGGAGTCGCAAGCTTCTTTTTTTGTTTTTATTTGTTTATTTATTCAATTATTTTATTTATTTATTTATTATTATTTTTTTTTTTTTTTTGGGGGGGGGGGGTGGGGGGGTTTGGGTTTAAGGTTTAGGGTTTAGGGTTTGGGGTTTGGGGTTTGGGGTTTCGGGCTTAGAGGTTCAGGGTTTAGGGTTTAGGGGCTAGGGTTCAGTGCTTTCGGTGGTTCAAGGTGTCTTTCAGGTTTTTGCTTTGGGGCTTTAACACCTTTGTGTGTGTGTGTGTGCTCAGCCGTAGGGCTTTCAGGTCAAGGGTTGGGGGGCTGCACTTCGGGGTTGGGGATTTTTGGGCTTTTGGGCTTGGGTGGATCTCAACCAGGGACTTGCAGTACGGGAGGCTTTTGGGGGATCGAGGGTTTGGTTCAAGGGTTGGGTTGTTGGGGCAGTTGGTGCTTTGGGGGTCCGCTGTTCTCTAGACTGGAGCAGGGCTGGCCTCAAGGTATTTCCTAGGCAGGATAAGGGGGGGCCCTTAAACAGGGAGCCCTTCTGAACCCTTTTCTGGCTTACTGAAACAGGGACCTTATTGAGAGGGTCTGTAGCCCCAAGGGTCCCGCTAATCCTATCCCCTGGTATTTAGGCGGGCCGGTCTACAATAATTATGAGCCCTTGTTTGGTGAGGTGTGGTTTTGGGTTCAGGGTTTTCGGCAAATGGGAATATCTTATATGAACTTTGGGACTGCATTTAGGGTTTATAGGGTTCAGGTGGAAGAGTGAGGTGTATGTTGCCAAGCTGCCGACCTCCCATTCTCCCAACAATCGGAGACCTCTACAAGTAGGAGTTGGACAGTTGACAAGAGTTGGAGCCCAGACCCATGGAGCAGTTTCCAGGTATGTCTTGTCTTTTCTCTCTTTGGGGGTAAGAGAGGGTCCTTTGCAGGAACATTCCGAGGCAGGCCCCTGGAACATATTGTATTTCCCCTAATTGTGTTTCAGAGCATCATCTTCAGGAGTATTGTTCAGAGGGTTTTAAGCGCCGTCGTGTAGTTCCTTTCTGGGCTAGTATTTGGGGCTTAGGAGGTTTAGGAGTTTAGGTGTTTAGCGTTTACGGTTTAGAGAACCCATGGTACTGTCCATAGGAGCCCCCAAAACCCTGAATCCTAAACCCTCCCTAAACCCTACGCCGAACGAACTCTTCAGGCGCTTCGGATCGGGTTCACCGGGGCCAGGTCCCCAAACACTGGGGGTTTAGGGTTTAGGGTTTGGGGTTCGGGTTTTGGGTTTCGGGTGTAGGGTTTAGGGTTTAGGGTTTAGGGATTCTCTAGACTCGGGTCCCTTTTTGAGGTTGCTATGCTAAGGCGGCCCCGTTTTCTTCAGGGTAGCCCAAAAAGGGATCCTAATTTTGAGAACTGACCATATCAGCGCCCAGAGGCTGCTTTCTTACTTTGGGCCAGGGTTTGGAAATTTCCTTGTCATAGTGGGATAACATTTTACATTTTTGAGGGTACTTAAACTCAATAAGAATAAAATTTTAAATTTTTATTACTATCCCAACTATGAACCAGATTTGGGGTTTGTAGTTTAGGAGGGTTTGGGGTTTTAGGACTTTGGGGTTTAGGGTCCAGCATGCCCTGATGCGAAAGCGTCTGACATCCATAGTTCTCTAAATCATAGTCAGTTTTTTTTTTTTTTGTTTGTGTGTGTGTGTGTTTTTTTTTGGGGGGGGGGGGAGGGTATCAACCCGGCTTCCCAAATCCCGGCACCCTAAATCCCTACCTCAACTCGTCCCCAAAAACCCCTGAAGCCCTAAACCTTGCATAAACTACCCCCAAAGAAGTTCCCCTTAAAGGCCCTGTATCCTAAATCCTATACCCTACTCCAGGCATTGAATCCTAAACCCTAAACCCTATACCCTAAACCCTAAACCCTAAACCCTAAACCCTAAACCCTAAACCCTAAACCCTAAACCCTAAACTGCAATAATCCCCCAATCCCTTCGCCCAGGTTATCACCTTCAAGAACGCCCCTGAAGTGCAGGAGCACGAGCCAAGGGGCTCGCACACATTCAGGGTTTAGGGTGTTACGGTTTAGGGTTTTACCCTAAACGCCAAGCCCTAAACCCTAGACCCCTCCCTTGATTCCTGCTTACCAAATATGAAGAAGAAACTAGACCCGGGCAGCATTCTGCACACATCTTTACTTGGTCGGCGCCCTCTGAGATTGCACACCTATATGCTAGGATGCTCTCTGCAGGGACTACACACAAAAGGAAATAGAGCATTTAATTTTCACCCTTTTTGATTCTCGGGGTTTTTAGACAGACTGCCCTAAACCCTATAAGCCCTAGTACAGACTCACAGATTCAAGGCACAGACTCTCTCAACCCTTCAACCAGAGACGTTGCCTTTTGTGGATGGGGTACGAAACGTCAGTGCTAAACCCTGGACCCTGACCAAGGAGACCCTCAACCTAAATCCCGAACCCTACGCGCAGGAGGTCGTGCGCAATGTGCCGCTGGACCGGATCCTGTTGGAGACGGACGGTCCATACATGGCGCCAGGTTCCCACATGGATATCTGAGCAGCGGAGGCTTGAGGGCTTGGGGTCCTGACCCCTACACCCGGATGCCCGAAGTTCCACCCCTTTACCCTTTACCCTAAACCCTAAACCCTAAACCCTAAACCCTAAACCCTAAAGCCACAAACCCTAAAACCCTGGCCCTCCCAGGCACCTCCTTGAACGCCCTGAATCTTGGGATTAGCAAGTTCAGTCGGTTGCCGCAATCCTTAACATACCTCACCGCCGTGAAAATCGCACCCGAATCTCAACAAAGCTTGATGTGCAGGCCTGGATGAGATGCTTCATTTCAACGCTGTTGACGAATGCCTGTTGTTGAGGTCGTTCTTGCGGATAAATCGGTTTTTGCAACTTGCTATATACTTAGCGTCATGTTCTTTGTGTCTGGGCCTCATGCCCAATTGCCAGCCAAGGCACGGCTTAGGGTTAGCTTAAAGAGTTTCCAAGTTGAAGGGTCGAAGGGTTTCAAGGGCTTTTGGGGTTCCAGGGGTTGTGGTGCTTTAGGGAATACGAGCCACGCCTTCAAGTCAAGACCCCCCAACCCCAAAGAACTTTTTACCCGAGCGCCAGCCAAGGCACGCTTGCGCACAGTTTTTAGGGTCAACCCTTGACCCTGTACCCTAAACCCTAAACCCTAAACCCTTAACCTTCCTGAGCCTTGAAAGGGCTTAAGGGTTCAAGCATTTGGGTGTGCCTCGCACGGTGGGTTTTAGGGTTTAGGGTTTGGCTCGAGAGTTGAGAGCTTAGAGTTTTAGGGTTTTCGGTTTAGGCGCTTGGCCTGCTCCGCTACATGTGGACTGCCCAAGGCCAGAGCCATTTCGGGGGCGCATCGCCCATCCAGGCGATGGCCAAGAATTTGGGGTTTAGGGCCTAGGGCTTGGGGTTTAGGGGGTCTTTGATGTAACCGCCGTTCCGGTTAGGGCTTTGGGTTCAGGGCTTTGAACGTCTTTGGGCTAGAGCTTTCCGAAGGTCTTCTTTCACACCGGGCGGCAACAGGCTTCTTCTGTTTGACTCGCTTCTTGCTCAGGAGACTATAAGTAACTACCCCACGACTGGATTGTCGGGCATGTCGGACGAGCTTGGGGTTTCATGATACCTGTCAAACGTACCTGCACTCAGTAGTAAATACCCTATACTTCCTAAACCCTAAACCCTAAACCAGTATCCTTTGCCCCATTTCAACCCCAAACCCATAAAACATCGGTACCTGAAGAGAGGACGTCGTCCTCAGACTCAAGGACAGTACAAATCTGCGGACTTAGGGTTTAGGGTTTAGGGTTTAGGGTTTAGGGTTTAGGGTTTAGGGTTTGGGGCCGGTGCCGGTGCCTACCTCGTGAGGAAGATTCTCTCAGAATTCTATTTAAGGAGCCGATGGCTTGAGTTCATCTTGCTTATTGAGGGGTGGTTAAAGGCCAGGGTTTAGGGTTTAGGGTTTAGGGTTTAGGGTTCAGGGTTTAGGGTTTTCTGAACCTTAAGCTTCAAACCCCAAACTTGGGGTGGGGGCTTGCGGTTGAGAGCTTGAATGTTAGGCATGGAACAACTATAAACCCCGAACCCATCAAACAACCGTAAACCCTAAACATCCCTAAGCCCTAGGCCCTATACCGCCTATACCCTAAACCCTAAACCCGAAACCCGAAACCCGAAGCCCAACGCCTGCAGGCCACGTGGCGTACGTGGCCGACGCGGTTGCACGGCTCAAGGCCCTCCCGCGCGAGGAGGTGCTCCGGGTCTGCAGGCAGCCGTCCGGCCGAACTAGAAGTTGATTCGGAGTTTAGGGTTTAGGGTTTAATTAGGGTGTAGGGTTTAGGGTTTAGGGTTTAGGGTTTTGACTCTATAGACCCTAAACCCTGAAAGCTTGCAAGGGCTGCAGGGTTGCAGTTCACTGGAGTCCGCACGCTCTTCATAATCATGCACCCAGTACTTTGACTCCCTTCCTTATTATCAGAGATCTGCAGTATTAATCGTTAGAGCTCATTCGAAAGATGAACAACCCCCAGGCAACATTTCATCAGCGAACAATGCAATTCCTTCGACTTGTCACCTAGTTACGTGGTATTATTGGCCTACCATAAGTTTACAAATTGTTCGTGAGCTCCCTCAAAAACCGTCCCAAGGAAGATACAAATAAACCAAACCCTCAAGCCCTAAACCTTAGCCCTAACACCCGAAAGCCCGAATTCTGGGTCATTGTGGAAAATTACTTTACTTTCATATGAGTACTTCAACCAAATAAGGAACAGTTCTGATCATCTTTACTAGTGCCCCAACAATGGTGCAGAATTGGGTTCTCTAGGCAAAATATATATATATGTATATATATACACATTAATTTATTTATTCAGGCCCTGAATTCCCTCATTCCCTGCCAAGAACCAGGGGGGGAATTGGGTTACGCAAGCCCCCCACATCGTGTGCAGCTCCATCTCCAGCAAGCCAGCGGGAGAAGCCCAGGAACACCCGAAGCACCTACGGGATCTGAGCTCGGGTGAGAGAAAGTGAGGCCTTCTAGGGGTTTTAACCACTTCTAGGGGTTTTAACATGGGTTTCGTGCTTGTAGGGTTTCAGGTTTTTGGGTTTAAGGGTTTTTGGGTGTCAGGGTTTTATAGGGTTTAGTGCTTATAGGGTTTCAGGTTTTTTTGTTCTAGGGTTCAAGGTTTCAGGTGTTGAGGGTGTTAAAGGGTTTGAGGGCTTTAAAGGGTTTTAGGGTCTTAGTGGGTTTTAGGGTTTCAAGGTTTTGGGTTCTGGGGCCCTGAAACCCACAAACCCGAAGCCCGAAAGGATGCAGCGTCGCGCAGGTTCACCGGGCGCCAAGATGTGAAGCTGGGGGGGGCACATGAACCTTGAGTCTGGGGTTTAGGGTTTAGGGTTTACAGTCTAGGGTTGGGGGTTTAAGGTTTGGGGTTTAGGGTACTGCACCTGGCCCACAAACCTGTTGGGCTTCTCTTAGCCCCCATGGCAGGGGGCATGCCAGGCAACTCTCTGACGAATATGCCGCCTTGAGCCCTAAACCCTAAACCATAAAGCCCTAATCGTGGACTCACGGTTCTTAAAACACCGGGGGATAGGGTGTCGTTGTAGGTCACTGGGGTTTAGGTCGTAGGGTGTAGGATTTAGGGCTGCTGTTTTGGGAATTTGTTGACTATAGCGGCGCTAGTGCCGGCAGTGTCTGCTGGCATTGAAGTAGGGTTTGCGACTTGGATGGTTTGGGCTTGCCTCTTTTGGCGCCGAATGAACCTGAGCGATGAAGACTTCGTCGGTTTAGGGTTTAGGGTTTATAGGGTTTATAGGGTTTATAGGGTTTATAGGGTTTATAGGGTTTATAGGGTTTATAGGGTTTATAGGGTTTATAGGGTTTATAGGGTTTATAGGGTTTATAGGGCTTATAGGGCTTATAGGGTTTATAGGGTTTATAGGGTTTATAGGGTTTAGGGGTTAGGGTTTAGGGTTAAATGTTCCGTTGCTGGGGTGCTTGCTGGCTCCAGGTTTGTTTCTGCGGGTTCGCAGGAGTCGTCCGGGAATATCTGCTACAAGCTTGGTAATTATCTTTAGAGCGCGTCTCTGCTATGACTATGGGAAGCTGGTGCAAGATGAAAGTCCCAAGAACTACCATCCGAATCCCTGCCCGCCTAGACGCACATACGATGCTCCTAAGAAAGGAAAACTGCGAGGTTTCCGGCGGGCATAGGTATACCTTTTTGAGAAGCCTGGTAGCCCGCCAGTGGTACCCTTTTCCCCTATTTTGGGGTTCTGGGTTCCCTTACAAAGTAGCCACCCCCCCCAAAAAGTTACCCATGTCACAATATAGGGGGGGGGTTACGAAAATACCGGACCCCAAAGTAGACCCCCCCAAATTGTAGGATTCCCCTAGAATCAGGACCCCATAAGGTACCCTAATTTCGGAAACCACCATATGGCCTAAACCCCAAACCCTAAACCCTAAACCCTAAACCCTAAACCCTAAACCCTAAACCTGGGCTAGTCAAGCTCGGAGCTATGAGCCGAGCTTGTTCAGAGGCGGGTTTAGGGTTTAGGGTTTCGGGTTTAGGGTTTAGGGATGTTTAGGGTTTAGGGTTTAGGGTTTAGGGCCGGCGACAGCTTGGCGTTGTCGGGTCTGGGGTTCAGTCTTCGTTGTTTAGGGTCCTAGAGTCATCTGCCCCCGCATGATATGGTATTATGTAGTTATAACGTTTCCCCCCCCCCCCCCCCCCCCCGCGCGTCCGAACTGACACTGGGCTTGGAAGCCTAAGCCCTAAACCCTAAACTACGTAACCCTAAACAGTATACAAGCCCTAAACCCTAAACCCTAAACCTCAAGCTCAGCCCTGACCTGTCCGTCCTTACACCTAATCCACCTGCACACAAACCTGCTCCCTAGATTAACCTCGAGACCCCTTTAAGAACAAGGACATGCCCTTGGTTCTTAACCCTAAACCCCAAACCCTAAACCCTAAACCCTAAACCCTAAACCCTAAACCCTAAACCCTAAACCCTAAACCCTAAACCCTAAACCCTAAACCCTAAACCCACACCTTACACCTTAAGCCGGGCGCCTCTGCTGTCCTGCGATTTTCCGCGCTCGGCTGCGAAGTCGAGTGCGCATCCCATGTGGAGAAAAGTGGGGAGTCCTAAACCCTAAACCCTAAACCCTAAACCCTAAACCCTAACCCCAAAAAGGGTACCCCTGTTTTCGGAAGCACCCATATGATAGCACGTCCAAGTGTGCTATATTAAGAAAGGTTTGTAGCGGAGTCGGAGCAGTGAAGAGAGTTAGGGCATCAGGTACCTTCTACTCCCCGGCGCAACCCTTCAAGAGATTATGTAGGGTTCGCAGAATACTTAGGATTATCGTCTTTCGGGGTACGGAACCCTTCAAAGAAGGAAAACAAATTCCTAAACCCTAAACCCTAACCCTAAACCCTAAACCCTAAACCCTAAACCCCCAAACAGACTCCCCTTAGACGCGTGGGGGCAGGGCCACGCGGTCACCTGCTTCGAGCGCCTCGCAGCCTTCGGCGCCGATCTCTCCGCCAGTCTGAAGCTTGGGGCTTCTAGGGTTTAGGGTTTAGGGTTTAGGGTTTAGGGTTTATAGGGTGTTTAGGGTTTGGGGTTTAGGGTTTGGGGTTTAGGGTTTGGGTTTAGGGTTTGGGTTTAGGGTTTAGGGTTTCGGGTTTAGAGTTTCGGGTGTAGGGTTTAGGGTTTAGGTTTGGGTTTTGGGGTTTCGGGTTTCGGGTTTCGGGTTTAGGATTTATATAAGGTTTACGGTTTCGGGTTTAGGGTTTCGGGTTTAGGGTATAGGGTTCAGGGATTGATTAGCGTTTCGGGTTCAGGGTTTACGGTTCAGGGTTGAGGGTTTCGGGTTCAGGGTTTCAGGTTCAGGGTTTCGGGTTTAGGGTTTCTGGTTTCGGGATTAGGGTTTAGGGTTTTGGGTTTTGGGTTTTAGGCTTCAGGGTTTCGGGATTAGGGGTTTAGGGCTTAGGGTTTAGGGTTTCGGGTTTCGGTTTAGGGTTTGGTCCAGGGTTTCGGGTTTAGGTTTCAGGGTTTAGGGTTTCGGGGTTAGGGGTATAGGGCATAGTGCTTCTCGGGTTTAGGGTTTAGGGCTTTTCGGGGTCAGGGTGTACGACACCTGGCCTTTGCTGTTGGCAGTCCTCCCCCCAAAAAGAGACTGAGGTCACCTCCTAGGCTGTATGAACAGGGATTTTCCGAGCACCGGTCACACCGCCTCACACACGGCACGTTGCTTTTCGAGAGTGCAACCTTGGTCGTGGCCTTCCTACAGGCTCAGGCGACCCGGGTCTATTTCGGACATTAGGTCCAACTCCCTCCCCCCATCCTATTTCAGCACCCTCAACCTACAATCCCTATTTCCTAGACCCCAAACCCTAAACCCCCCTAAACGCTAACACTCGATTGTTACTTTTGGGGGGGAGGAAGGGGTTGGAGGAGAAGCCCTGAACCCTGAACCCTAAACCCTAAACCCTAGACCCTAAACCCCAAACCCTAAACCCTAAACCCTAAACCTAAAACCCTAAACCCTAAACCCTAAACCCTAAACCCTAAACCCTAAACCCTAAACCCTAAACCCTAAACCCTAAACCCTAAACCTAAACCCTAAACCCTAAACCCTAAACCCAAACACTGGAGACTCCACCGCGCTGGCGAAGGTCCGGCGCCGGAGCTTCGGGAGCTGATGCAGTTGATGCAGCAGCAGATGGGTGATCTGGACAGGGTTTGGGGTTTAGGGTTTAGGGTTTAGGGTTTAGGGTTTAGGGTTTAGGGTTTAGGGTTTAGGGTTTAGGGTTTAGGGTTTAGGGGGTGTAGGGCTCAGGGTTTCGGACGGGATGGTCGACCGTGTGTGTTTTGAGGTCCTGCATGGTCACTCACCGAAACCAGCACAGATGTTTTTAGTTATAGCTTCTGCATGGGCATATCTCTTCCAAGAACTTAAACCCTAAACCCTAAACCGTGAAACATTCGAGGAACACTTACAACCCTAACCTCATGAATCCAAAAATGCCACAGATGGAATTGGAAAACCGTTCTACAATTCCCAGGCCCATCTTTGACCCTCTGCAACCCCTAAACCCTAAACTCTTTACAGTGCCCTTATGTACAGGGTTACGGCTCTGGTAGTTAGGGATTTTCCAGTAGCGTTTAGGGACCTAAATGCACCCCAAAGTAGCAACTGACTCCCGTCTTAATAGCCCAAAAGACCAAAAGAGACCCCATAGAACTGGTCTAAACCTTAAACCCTAAATCCTATAACCCTAAGCCCTAAATCCTTG